GACCAGCCTGGGCAACTTGGTGAGATCTTGTCTCTACAATAAATCAAAAATTAGCTGGGCACAGTAGCTCGCGCCTATAGTTCTGGCTACTTGGAAGGCTGAGGTGGAAGGATCACCGGAGTCCAGCAAGTCAACGCTGGGGTGGCTGTGAGTGTGCCACTGCACTCCAGCCTGGGTGATGGAGTGAGACTCCCACTCAAAAAAAAAAGATGCTTGCACCAAGCCAGAGAAGCAACTCCATCCCTTATGGAAGTGATCCTGCCAGCATGATTAGTAGTATTCGCAGCTCTGATGGGAGAAAAGGCAGGCTCTTTGAGGCAGGGGAGGGTCTCTTTCATGTGTCCCCTGCTGTGGACTAAGCATAGTGCTTGGTATACAGCAGCTGTTTGTAAGTGTGTGCTGGATTAGGATGAAGCCCTCCCTGTCTTGACCACAGGTAAGCCAGATGTGCCAAGGCAGCAGGACAAGGATGCCACATCAGCGCCTCACCCCCGGTGCAGAACTCCACTGTCTCGCTCCAGCCAGACACCAGGTACTCGCCATCACTTTGCTTCACCGCCGTCTGTACGGCCACGCTGTACTCCGTGCGGGGGCTCAGGAACCAGTGGCCTCTCACTGTCATGGGCAGTGGCACCGCCTTGGCCACTAGCTTGGTGGGGACATCCTGAGAAATGGGGCAGAGACGGAGAGCCAGAAGTCAAACCAGGGGTCACGTCCAACCTTGGCAGCCCCCAGTGCCCGCTCCCCAGACAGCCCCCATTCTTCCCGAGCAGGGCTAGAGTCTTAGGGATTCGGTGGCTCCATGCCCTAGACACCATTTTCTTGGGAAAGCCACACAGACACTCCCCAGCCTCTGCCCCTCCTTCAACCTCTCTGACACCCTGTTCTCTTGGGAGCTGAGGGGAAAGGCCACAAAGTTGAGGGCGGCAAGACCTTCGTTTTTGAGGGAGACTTCGAGAGCTCTGCACACTGCAGTGCCGTCTCCACGGCAACGGCAAATGCTGAGAAGCCAGGGAGGAAGGGAAAATATGCCTTATTCTTTGGGGGGGAGGGCTCAGGGGGTGGTGTTGAGCATTCACGTCACCGTGGCAACTGGCCTGCCAAAAGACACCCAGATCAGGAGAGCCAGTTCCGGGGGGGGGTGAGTAACCCACGCCGGTGCTGTCGTCCTGGGAGCCTCCAGCTTCTGTCCACCCCACTCCCCTGCCTCTGCCAGCTCCAAGGATGGGAGGCTTCCTCCCACCCGCCCCCACACCGACTTTTAACCCCAGGAAAGGACACACCCGCAGAGGACTCTCACATTCCTTTTCTAAGCCAAGCAAAGAGTAGGCCAGCGGGTGAGAGGTAGAAAGAACCGCCGAGGAGGCCGGAGAGGGAGAACTGAAGACCCATAAAAAGAGTCCCACATCGCCCACCCAGCCAGCAGCAAGGCTGCTTCCCAATCAGGGCTCTGCCAGGACTTGAGACGTCATCCCTGTGTGTGATGCCAGCGCCCCACCCCGTCCGGGCTTTCTGCCCCTGTCTGAAGTCCCAGTCGTGGCGCTGATAACAGCATTCCCTCTGTGCTGGGCATCGTGCCAAGTACCACACAAACATTACTCATTGAATCCTCTCAAAGACCCTGTGAGGGTTCGAATTATTATTCCCTCTTCACCAGTGAAGGAACTCAGGATCAGAGAGGTCAAGTAAATTTCCCAAAATGACACAGTAAGATGTGTCTGGATTTTAACCAGGCCTCCTACTTCAAACAATGAGTTCCAGGCATCTCATTATCCTGCCTCCTTCAAGAACAGGTGCTGGGGAGAGCTGCTCAGGGCGTCTTCTACTCACCCGGTGCTTGAACTTGTTGGAGTTCTTATTCTCCTTCTTGTTGAGGTCAATGAAGTAATGGGTGACCCTCTCCAGGTCACTGTCCTCCATGGCCCAGGAGATGCGGAAGGAGTCGCAGGTGATGTTGCTGATCTCAATGCTGTGGGGCGTGGATAGCAGCTCCATGCTCCCCTCTGGTTTGGCTCCTGTGGGGACTGGGGGGAGAGGAAGGATCAGCAACCCTCGCCCCCAAAGAGCTCTCCTCCCAATATCCCGTGCAAGGTGGAGCCCCGGGGACCCGTGGAATGCATCTGCCTCATAAATCGGATGGAAAAGATGGCACGGGGGAGACTGGAGGTGGAGGACCGAAGGTGGAATGGGGTGCCTCCCCGGGGGCTCTCCTTGGAGAGGGGTCTGCAGAGCAGACGGCACCTGACAGGTGGCAGAGGCAGTGGGAACGCTGCGGACGCTGGGCGGGGACAGATTTGCAGCAGATGGAGCCGAGGAGGGAGGGGGCCTTTAGCCAGCAGGCGTGAAAAGAGAAAATGGTGGGGGTGGAGGGAACGGGGGAGAGGAGGGGGAGAGGCAGGAAGCACCTGCTGAGGAGCCAAGGTGCGAGGCTTGGGGCAGGTGACGGCAGTGGCAGCCAGAAGTCCACAGGTGCCAGGGCCCTCAGACTCAGGTCTCTCTCCTCTCCGGGGGTGCCTCAGTGAGGGTCACCACTGCACAGGGCTGGGAGAATAAGTGCCACGTAGGTTCCCGTGGAAGGGACATTCCGAGTGGGAAGGGGCAGCCTGGGCCACAGCCTGCTTTCAGCTCTTTTCCACCCATAATTTTTTGACGATCACTTTTTCTCTTTTGGCCCATCCTCCCTTGACGACTTTCAGTAGTTAGTTTTAGCATGGACATCTGTTGGTCATTTCTGCAAACATTTTATGCAAGTCTCACAATAGGGGCGTACTACTGTTATCCCCATTTTACAGATGAAGCAACTGAAGTAGGGATTTATCTAACATGCCCGAGGCCACACAGCAAGCAAATGATTTGAGCTCTGGAGCCCAAGTTCTTGATCATTAAGCTAAAGTTGTGTCCTCTTTTGCAGGGGAGGGGACACAGGGGGCGTATTTGCATGCGCAGGTACATGTGGTGTTTCCACTATTAATTTCTCCTCCTTCTATCACTTTCAAACAGTTGCATTTTCTCTCCTCTCCTTCTCCTGCTCCTTCGGTTCCACCCTTATGTGTGATGCTCTTCCAGGTATGCAAGGACCATGACCCCGTCACTCTCACCTCTCACGTGTGCATTAGCTGGGAAGAGCTGACTCTGGCTTTGACTTTGGCCTGGCTTACCTGAGCTCTGGGACTGGGAAGGGAGAGGGGGAGAGAGTAACCATCTCTGGGAGGAGAATGCAGGTGTGGGTGGGGCGTTCTCCAGAGGCGTTTGGTCTTATGCCTCCCAGATCCCTTCCCTAAGCCCAACCCCCGGCACACCCCAGTTTTCCCAAATGTCACCTCCTTCTCTCCTCTCTTCCCTCTTTGTCTCCTCCCCTTGCCCAGAAGCTTGGAGTGAGGGCATCTTGTGCCTGTGAAAGCAGGTACTTTTATTTATAGCTTCCAGAAGATTCAGCCCACACTCTCCCGTCAATTAAGGCTGTTCCAGAGCCTGGCATCTCAAAATTAACCTGTGGGCTGCCTGGGCGGCAGGTACAGGGTGAAGGCTAAGGATGATGGCCCTTACTGACCCCAAGTGTCACTTAAGTCCTGTTTCATCTTAGCCCCCCTCCAGAGCCAAATGCCAGTGGCTTTGTATACAGGGAATCCTATGGTAAGTAAGCATAGGGGTGCTACAAGGCGTACCCCAAAATAAAACAAATGGGATCGGGTGTCTTGAAACAACCCTACCACCATAAACCAGTTTGTGATTCACAGGGACAGGTGTGGAGCAGTGGGGAGTCCTGGGCTCCCAGCAAGAAGCTCCCAGGGAAACACATATATGTCCCTCACACCCACACACAGACGCAAACACACTCCCACCCGAGAGGCTCTAAGCGGACCCCACCCGCCCACTCACACCTGCCCCATGAGTAGGCATCTATTCCTGCCTCAATCCCCCTCTCCTCAGAGTCTTCCCAGAAATAGGGGCAGCTGTGTTTGGTGCTTGGGGGTCCCCGGAACCTGGGTGACTGTGTGTCCCTTGCCCCTACAGTTCTGGGAAAGCTGAGATGACACCCCCATCCCAGCCTTAGGATAGTGGCAGTGAGTGACACTGAGAGAGCAAAAAGCCAGGGTGGCCCCAGATGGGTGTGAACCCAAGTGCTTGATGCCCAGATGCCTAGGGAAGGACCGGGTGTGAGGCACAGGTTAAGGCAACACCCAAGAAACACCCACACTCCTGTTGGATCCACCCCGAGACAAGCATGTACACACCCACACACAGGCAGGCACGCACGCACACACACATGCGCCGAGTGTGCCTACCCACCCACTCCACACCTCCACACGTCCCCACTCCCACATGCCCACCCATGCACCCAGGTACCTCCCACCACCTTCCATGTTCCAAGAATGCCCCGCAATATTCCCTCTGAAAGCTGTTGCCTCCATGCACACCCAGACGTGTTCACGGCCACAGGCTCACGCACACACACGCACACCTTCTCGCAAGCCATATTTGGGAAAAGAAGAAGCCACAGGCACCAACATGCACGCGTGCCATCTCAAGAAGACACGCAACCCACATGCCTGCCTGCACACACATGGGTGCTCATACTCCTAGCAACCCCAGCCTGAATCCTGGGATTCTCTTTTGAGTCTTCTCCAAGCTCAAAGACAGTGACTTTGAAAACGTATTTGTCTCTGGCCACACTCTGCCAGCCCAGAGCCTTCGTGCCAACAGGTTTGTGCACCGACACGGGTCTGCCCACACATCCCACCGCCCACTCCCTCCTGCCCTAGAGTTACCCATCTCCACATAGAAAGCCCCTGGTTGCACACATGTACGCCCACACGCATGACAAATAAGATGTCCACCCCCTAAGCACACCGCCTCCCAGGGCCCCCACCCACACATACCCACAGGCTACTCAGATAAGTGCGCCCCCCACACACATGTACCTCACGTGCACAAGAAAGATATGTTCCTAGACATGCCTCACGCCAGTCAAAACCCACTCACAAACACATGTAGACAGACTTATCTGCGCCAGTGAGCCTCTGGCCTCCTCACAAGCATGCACACGTGTCATACACATGGATGCCCCTTCCCCATGCCCATTCAGAAAAGCCGCCGTGCCAGAGGGAACACTTCCCCCACACCACTGTCCCTGTTGGCATCGCTGACTGCAGCAGAATGGTCACGGGGTGACTAACTGTGGTGCCCCAGAGACTAGATTCAGTCATCAACCCCTTTGCCAAGGGCCTGGAGGAAAGGGGACAAGGTCGTCAGGCCTGGAGATCCAGGTGGGCACCCCGGGCGGTGGCAGGACTCTGGTGCCCCCCACCTTCTAGCCTCTCAGGACAGACAGCAGGATGCTCTGGGGAGGAAGGACACTCACCTGGCTCCACTGGGCTCTGCAGAAGAAGACCCGGCAGGGAGGGAAGGGAGAAACCTCTGTGTGGGTGAGCTCCCCAGGCAGGAGACAGCGGCTGGACGGCTGGGTCACAGGCAGCGGTGTATGCTCGCTCCTCTCCCGGCTGCCAAGGAGGCTTCTTCCATGCCCCGCAGGCAGCTCCTGTCTGGCTCTGCAGCGCGTCGCTGCGGCCCCTGGTGAGCCGATGTTCCCAGGCGAGCGAGCGCAAGAAGAGAGGCTACAGCGAAATCAAAACAGCGTGGAGGAGAGAGAGGCAGAGAAGGCGAGAGAGAACGAGAGAGCCAGACCGAATCCGGATCCACCAATGGGATCAGTGGCTGCTCAGCGTCAGGTGATAATAAGCAAGCTTGGTCCCTGCTCGCCCGGCTGGTGGGAGGGGGAGAGGGCAGAGGGTCTCCCGGGGAGCTACACAGATGTCCTTGGAGACAGCAGAGGCTGCCACCTCTCCCCCATTCTTCCAGGACAAGCTGCCCTCAGAAGTCCCTCCAACACACCCCCTACTTGGAAATCTCTGACTTGAATGCAGCCCCCAAACTTTAGGATGCTGGGAGAGGGTGGAGCTTAGCCAAGGGCTTGGGCCCCAAAACAAGGATTCTGATTGGGGGAAGGGGAGGGAGGCTGTAGAGGGGAAGGGTCCAGGTGGGGTGTGTGAGAAGGGGGTGACCCATCTTCAGTCTGGATCCTCTTCTCTGGGCTGATTGCCCAGTGAGAATCCTCTGACTGCTTCGGTGTTCCTAGGGAAAGGGGCAGGAGAGAGGTGGTAGAACAGTGAAGGGCACAGAGGCAAGAAAGTGGGGGTGTGAGAACACACCTAGCAAACCCTCTGGGCTCAGAGGAAGCCCAGCCCTGGGCACCTTGGCCAGAGATCGCAATATCCATTCTCATGTTGGTAGGAGGCTATTCTACCCCCAAGAAAGGAGAACCCCGTGGAGGCCAACATGAAAAACACTCAAGGAAATTAGAGTCAAACAACAAGCAGTGGCAAAGGATGTGTGCAGTGGGCTTGCACTTAGGCAGATGCGGTGAGAAGGCCTGCCCTGTCACTGTCCAGCTGGGTGAACTTGCTTAAGAAACTTGATCTCGGCTGGGCTCAGTGGCTCAGTCTGTCATCCCAGCACTTTGGGAGGCCGAGGTGAGTGGATTGCCTGTGTCATGGCTTTCCAGCCTGGGCGATGGAGTGAGACTCCAACTCAAAAAAAAAAAAAAGAAAGAAACTCGATCTCTCGGTGCCTCAGTCTCTTCATCTGTTTGATGGGATCATACAGGCTTATTGTCACCATGGAATGAGATAATTAGGTAAACCACCCAGCATGTAAGAAGTACCAGTCACCTGTCAGAGCTGCTTTCATTTCCATCATTATTGATGGTGTCTGCTTGTAAGGAGTCCACAGTCTTCAGGGGGCAAAATTACAGAACAAGGAGGTCGGGTATGATGGCTCATACCTGAAATTCCAGCACTTTGGGAGGTTGAGACAGGAGGCCAAGAGTTCAAGATCAGCGTGGGTAACACAGTGAGACCTCGTCTCTACAAAAAAAATTTTTTTTGAGAATTAGCTCACAATTGTAGTCCCAGCTATTTAGGAGGCTGAGGCTGGAGGATCACGTGAGCCCAGGAGAGCGAGGCTGCAGTGAGCTATAATTGTGCTGTTGCACTCCTGTCTAGGTGATAGAGTGAGACCCTCTCTGAAAAAGAGCAAGGAGTATACAACTAAATTACAGGGCACAGATAAGAATTCAGAGAAGGAAGGGTGGCCAGCTTCACAGCACAGGTAAAGCCCAGCCTCGAGGAGGCCATGCAAACAGGGGTGTGGTGGGGGTAGGGAGGGTTTGGTGCATGGGTAGCAGACACCATGCAGGCTCCAGAGAACAGAAGGTGAGTTGAGTCCAAGGGACACTCACTGAGAGGGACTTGGGGTTAAAGCACCAGCAGCAGAGGTCAGAGGAGGTGACAATGGGCAGAAAATGAAACATTTGTGGAATGTAAATCCAAGCAGAAGCCAAGCCTACCTCACATGGGTGTGAGAACCCGAGCGAGTCTGGTCAGATCCTGAACCACAGAATGCAGTGTGGTGTGTTACACTGAGGCAGGATTAAGCACTCCCTTGGCCAAACATTACCAAGTTCCGCCTCCACACGCCTACGCCACGGTGGTGAAACTCACAAGAGATGCGAAAGGTAACGCCGTGGTTATGGCCAGCACATGACATCTGGACCCGAAGTCTTGTCTCTAGGACCAAACTGAGGGGCAGTGGGAGGAAAAAGGCAGGTGCTCTTTGACTCGGTTTCCCCTTCTGTCAAAGAAAAACTAGTCCCAGCACCGTCTGTGCCTCCTACCTTCTCAGGATGTCACGTGGAGACTGCATGAGGTCATGTGGCCTGAGCATGAACAATAACCATCTGAATGGCCCTTTGTGGTGCTGCTCACGAGTGGCAGGTGAAGACACAGCCCTTCCAGAGCCTCTGCCTCTTCTTGCCCCTGAGAATTGCTCTACAGATCACGGGAGAAAACACGTGGTGAGAGCAAAGCATAGCATGCCAAGTTTAACCAGCTCTGCATGAGACCAAACCACCGCCAAGATGTACTTCTGCTGCATTTTTATTTTTCATAACTTTTTATGACACAAGTAATACACGATCGTTGTAGGAAGAGGAGACCATTTTGTTGTAAAACTTGAGAGAGAATTAAAATCTCTCACTTTCCCACCATTCAGAAATATGCATATATGTATAAATTTATTGGCAAAAATGGAATTAAAGAATGGTGTTATAACTTGCTTTTTTCACTTACCAATGCATTTTCTACTCATCACTTTGTCTTTTTACAGTATCATTTTAAATTGCGGTCTAGAGTTCTATTGTCAGTCATATACCTTTTTTAGAGCCAATTCCCTGCTCCTTTATAATTATTTTTCTCCATTCTAAACCTCACTACATTGCACACCCTTACAGTAAAATCTCTTTCCACATCTTACTTATATATCCAATAAAATATTTTTAAATGTGCACCTTATTTAGATATTGTTTGAAGCAAACGATTTTTTAAAACCCCCATGACAGTTGGAGAAATCTGAATACTAACTGGGTATTTGGTGTTTAAGAAGTTTTAGCTCTGATAATGACATAGTGAGTTTTTTGTTTGTTTTTGAGACAGGGTCTTGCTCTGTCACCAAGGCTGGATGGAGTACAGTGGCATGATTGTGGCTTACAGCAGCCTCAAACTCCTGGGTTCAAGTGATTCTCCTGCCTCAGCCCCCGCCAAGTACCTGGGACTATAGGTATGTGCCACCACACCTGGTTTGTTTATTTTATTTTTTATAGAGACAAGGTCTTATTATGCTGCCCATGCTGGTCTCAAACTTCTGACCTCAAGCAATTCCCTCTCCTTCACCTCCCAAAGTGCTGGGATACAGGTATAAGCAATTGTGCCCAGCCTGTAGTTATTATTTTTTAAAAGAGTGCTTACGCTTTAGAGAGACATAAAATGGCTATCTCTCAAGTTTGCTGTGAGAATCACACCCCTAGCACTATGTCTAGGAGAGGGAATTGCTTGAGTCAGAAGTAGCATTTAAGGATGGATAACATAATATCTGATATGTTTCAAAATCATCTGGGGCAAATGAGTGGGTGGCAGTAGAGATACAACAAGAGTGGATAAGTGCTGAAGTTGGGTGCTTCCAGATCCAATAAGCTATTCTCTCTACTTTTGTGCATGCTTGGAAGTTTCCATATTAAACATTATATTTAGACTATCACAATAATAACACAAGCATTTTTTTTTTTTGAGTTGGAGTCTCACTCCATCACCCAGGCTGGAGTACAGTGGCACACTCATGACCACCCCAGTGTTGACCAACCTACGGAGCTCTAGCGATCCTTCCGCCTCAGTCTTCCAAGGAGCTGGGACTACAGACGTGCGCTACCACGGCTGACTCATTTTTAAATTTATTGTAGAGACGAGGTCTTGCAAAGTTTCCCGGGCTGGCCTTGAACCTGTGTGCTCAGGCAATCCACTCGCTTTGGCCTCCCAAAGTGCTGGGATTATAGGCTGAGCCACTGAGCCCGGCCAACAAAAGCATTTGTTAAGCACCAAGACATACGGCTAGGAATGTGATTCTCACAGCAAACTTGAGAGGTAGCCATTTTAAAAAGGTGGACTGTGGAGGAACTCAGCCCATTAGTAGTAAGACTAATGGTCTCCTGAGTACAAAGGCCAGATTCTTCATGGTAGAAGGATGCATAACAAATATAGAGTCTAATGTAATAGAGAATGAGGCTATACGTAAACAAAAATTTAGTCTTAATATTCCTTGTGCACTTTATGGACTCAAATTGTTTATTTATTTCCCCATGGCTAAACTAAGTGTGGGCATTCAATGGGCCAGTGAATGCTTTCACATCCGCAGAGTCCACAGAAACTACCTTGTTCATTTACTTGCGTTTACAATAACGAGAGTGAATAATGAGCGTTTATAAGAGCTGCATGGATTTCTCTGTGCTCATGTTTTACTTTCTCATTTTGAAATCGTGTTTAGACATCCTACAACCCTCACTGGTCATCTATTTTGAACTTAATAAAGAGCAGTAAGGTGATTCTAAAAACTGGACACATTTCTGAGCTTGACTAAAGAATAGAATACGTATGTTAGCTGTTTTAGCCTGGGCTTGGTGGCTCAGCCTGTAATCCCAGCACTTTGGGAGGCCGAGGCCAGTGGATTCTCTGAGCCCATGGGTTCAAGACCAGCCCAGGCAACTTGGTAAGACCTCATCTCTACAATAAATAAAAAATTGGCTGGGTGTGGTAGCACACCTGTAGTTCCAGTTTCTTGGAAGACTGAGGCAGAAGGATTGCCGGAGCCCAGCAGGTTGATGCTGGGGTGGCCCTGAGTGTGCCACTTCACTCCAGTCTGGACAACAGAGTGAGACTCCACCTCAAAAAAAAAGTATTTTAGCTGCTTTAAAAACTTAAATATTGGCCTGACGTTGGCCATTCTAAAGTCTCTGGGGGCCAGGTGTGTTGGCTCACATTTGTAATCCCAGCACTTTGGGAGGCTGAGATGGGAGGATAGCTTGAGCCCAGGAGGTTGAGACCAGACTAGGCGACATAAGGAGACCTTGTCTCTACAAAAAATACTTTAAAAAAAAATTAGCCAGGCATAATAGCATGTGCCTGTAATCCCAGTTACTTGGGAGGCTGAAGTGGAAGGAATGCCTGAGCCCAAGAGGTTGAGGCTGTGGTGAGTCGTGATCCAGCCTGGTGACAGAGTACACTCCAGCCTGGGTGACAGAGTGATCCCATCTCAAAAAAAAAATTTTTTTTAAATATTTAACCATTTTAGGACATGGAAAGATGCTGAGAAACCACAGAAGAGAGGGTGAAATGCTGGAAAGGCAAAGGAAACTTAAAGGGAAAAGATTTTTTGTTTGTTTGTTTGTTTGTTTTTGAGTTGGAGTCTCACTCTGTCACCCAGACTGGAGTGCAGTAGCACGCTCATGCCCACCGCAGC